CAGGCGGGATCCTCAAAACAAGCATCCATCGTGAAGGCTCACTTTATTTTTCCGTTGTGCCTAAGGTTTCAGATCGATGGGAACTGTAGTAGGCCAGCCGGATTTTGTAAATTGCACTATAGAAGATAGCGTTCGGTCCACATGGGTCCACTGACGTATGGTGTCACTTGTCAATAGATTGGTGTCGAGGGGTTGCAATAGATTTACAAGCTCTACTGGTTCCTCCAGTATTTCGTCTGGAGTCGCATGTGGTAACCGTTTTAATGCATCCGCTGTATGATTGTTCAACCCAGGAATATACGAGATTCGATATTTATTTGCACTTAATATTAACGCCTAGCGTTGCATTCTCGGTGAAACATCTGATCCACTCCCTTTGACTCGCTCAGCAGGGATATCAGTGGTTTGCGGTCGGTTTTTATTTCGAAATAGTTGCCTCAGATGTACGGATGAAACCTCTTGACGCCAAATATAACTGACAGGGCTTCTTTATCCAGCTGGGAGTAACACTATCCGGCGGGTTGTAAAGTTCGTAAAGCAAATGCTTTTTGTGGCATAGAACTGATTCGACTCCGTATGGAGAGGCGGCACCCTGTAAGATTAATGGTTTTTCACTATCGTAATGGACCAAACCAGGTGCGTAAGCAAGACACATCTTTGAACAAGTAAAAGCAGATTGATGCCTACTTTTCCACATCTATGAGATGTTTTGTGTAACAGTTCGTTTAATGGAGCAATAATGGTCGAGGCATCAGGTAGGAAACGACGATAGTGGGACAACAATCCTAGAAATGATCGTACTTCATCAATATTCTTGGGCTGTGGTGCCTGCACAATAAAGGCTATGTTACCTTGCAGAACATGCAAACCGGTTTTGTCCAGTTTGTAACCAAGGTGACGAAAGAAATCGGATAAGAACTCACATTTATACTTCTATAATATCAACCCACACTATTCCAGATGCAGGAGCACAGTTCGCAATGCGTTTAGGTGATCAGCGTCACTGCGATCAGTAACAAGGACATCGCCCAAGTATGCACAGGTGAACGGTGTATCTTTAACCATATTATGCACGATCCGTTGGAGAATGCTGGTTGCTGAAATTCCTCCAAAACGGAGACAAGTGTACTGGAATAGGCTCAGGTGGGTAGCTATTGTGGTCAGTTCCTTGACTGATCATGAAGTTCGACCTGAGGGCATGCGTGGCTGAGATCTAGCTTGGAAAACGTTTGGCCGCCGGCTAAAGTCAAGTAAAAGCCTTCAATACGTTGTAGGGGATATTTTTCCTCTTTCGACGCTTGGTTGACCGTCAATTTGTAGTCTCCACAAATACGAACGGAACCGCCAGGTTTGACTACAGGTACAGTCGGAGTGCCTTAATCTGAATGTTGCACCGAGGCTATGACTCCTTCTGATGGCAGACGTTGTATATCTGCCTCAACTTTGGGGCGCACTACATAAGGTAATGATCTAGCTTTGTAAAATTTTGGTTCGGCACCCTCCCGGAGTTTTCTAGAAGTCATGAAATGACTCATTTTTCCTAGTTGGTTTTCAAACGACAATGCAAACTCGTTCAACAATCCATTCAAACCGCCGTCTTTAACAGTGAGTTGGCTGAGTTGCATGGTCTCGGGAAAGAACGGTAGCAAGTCTCGACACATGAGCTTTGGTTTGTTCCCAGGTGCAACGATTAACGGTAGGGTGAATACTCGCTCCCCGTGCCTGGCTATAACGAAAAATCTGCCCAACACCTGAATTGCATCACCTGTGTACGTCTGTAATCTTGAGTTGCATGGTAGCAAAGGTGGTAGCTTTTTCATTGAACCGCGGTTTACAGCGGTGACCGCCGCCCCAACATCTAGCTCCATGTCTATCATTTCATCGTCTATCGTCAAATATATCGTGTAAGGAGGACAGTATTTTAGTGGCACACTTTTCAAATACACGGTGTTAAGGTCACTGTTCAAATTTTCTAAGACCTTAACTTTCCTTAGATCTAGTTTGCTTTGACGCTCGGATGAGGCGACGTTCGTCGGGCGGAAACTTTCCGATCTACAGACGCGTGCCAGCAGACTTATCTTGCCGCATTTCCAACAGATACTTTCTTTTTTCCGGCAATCGGAAAAGTGAGGATGCCGCAAATTGCAACGATAACACACAAATTGTTTTCGCGGTTCACTGGTGTCTGATTAGCGGACCGCGGGCACATCACCAACTATCGGCCGAACTGTGAGCTCGCGTGATTGTTGTGTAAAGTTCTCTCGCTAAGACGAATATTTTCTCACGTGGTAGCCGACTCATCCAAGGATAACAAATTCTCTTTAGCACTTTCGTCCGATATTCCCGCAATTGAACTGAATTTTCATTTGCTCTTCCAGCTTTCCAGGTGGAATATCATTATACTTACAGTCAGGAATAGAAGGTTGAATATGTGCAACAAAATCATTGACGCTTTCGTTCGGCTTTTGGACAAGTTTTGAAAAGCAGTATCTAGCGGTGTAAGCATTTCGTTTCAGCTCCCATAACGAGGTACAAGTATCCAAAACAGAACTGAGGATGGCCTAGCTTTCCAGTTGGAGGGCATTGTAATGCCGTTGATCATCATCGCCAAGCACTTGCCTGAATAGTGTGATTTTGTGAGCTTCAGAAAGATAAACGGTAGGATTCAGTACAAGAAGTAATGCCACGTAGTTAATTAATTATTCCCTCCATCTTATCCAGTTCGATAAGGTCGCTTTTTTACCAAAAGATGACCAAAATATAAGAGGTGTATTCAACATTGGTTTCGTCAATTACGTCGTCACTAAAACCTAGTACCACTAAACATGTAACGCACGCTTCCGAGACACGTAATCCCTGCAAACAGATGTCTGGACAGCAGGCGTTTTATCAATCAACTGCGAAGGTACAAGATTCCCGGAAAAGCGTGACGAGACCGGGGGTTTGTCAGATGATTGGCTAGCTGGTGTTAGTGGCAACCAATCGGCGCACGGCTGAAGTAAACGGATCAAAGTCATTCGCGTACGTGTCAACGCTGGCTTACTGGAAACCATCTCCCGCTTCTGCTACCTTGGGAGTGTGATGTCTACTGACCAGCAGCTTCACAGTGAATTTCGTATCAGCACCTCGAGCGCAGTGGTGGCATTCGGGAAGTTAGAGTACCGCGTGTGGAACAGACATCGGCTTACCTTTGGCACGAGGCTGATGATATAGAAATCCATGGTGTTGTCCATTCTACCCTACGGCAACGAACCATGGACGATGTGCCGGCGGGATGTGCGGTCTCTCGAGCCGTTCCTTCGACAAGGTTTGCTACAGTGTTGTGCCGAATTGGGGTATATGCAGTAGACTGCATAGTTTTATTGTTACAACTTAGTTGGCCCGCTCGTTTGTGGAGTATGATTTCGACGCAAATACCTGATCAGCTATTAAATGTTCATCTGAGTTTGGGGAAGCTGCATGTGCCGTAACGGAATCTTCGTTACCAGGACATGATCAAGGAGAGCTTCTCACGTTCTAACCTTGATTGCAGGTCAAGGAATTCGAAGGCGGTTTTCCGGCATGCGTGGCGCGATCTGATCACGAAAGCATTTGCCCGGGTGCAGGAGAAAGCCCTTATGCCTGCGGAGATAAACGGTAGGTGCCGAAGTGACAGGTGCCCCTGGGCTGTACTCCATCTACCTCGAACGCATAGTGCTGTAGCACAGGCTGTTAAGAGTGCCTGAGTCATGCAAGTCTAGTGATAATGAGGGAGGACACTCTGGGCCAAAACCGAAACGAGAACGAGCCCTACTGCGAACCAGGCAGAACCGGCGCAGCGTTTGTAAGTACGCTGCGTTCCATCTACTACCGCGTGCTTGCTGCGTTTCTTTGTTTTAGGTGATCGAAATGCTATATTTTGTTAATACAAGCCCTGCTACTCCACTTTAATGTCTATCTGCATAATTTTCTATGTATTACACGCGTAGCTTAAACGAATGCTGATTAATTGCGTTGATTCTATTCACGATTGGTCTTTTTATGCCATCCTGAGTTTAGCGCAGTTACCTTGATTACGAGTTTTTACATACGGTAATCTGTGAAGATTTAATTCGGCATACTCGTACGCTTTATCCAATATATTTCATTTGATATTGTCCTTTCAAGTGATTAGCTGTTGCTTTACTCCATAGGGTTTCTACGCCTGGCGTGCACCTTTACAAGCTGCTTAGCTGTTTTTACCCACCACTTTATCCCCACTGGCTCCACAGAGTTTGCCGTAACTGGAGAGAACAAGGTTCACCGTCCTCGTGACTGTGTTAGGCTCCAGGAGTGGTTCTATTCACTTAGCTTGTGTGTGCAGCGGGCTACGTTGTAACCACCGCCTTGTGTGCACTTGATTCATCCAATACAGCATGCTTGTGCTTACCTGTGTAGACATGTGGGTAGGGTACGTGGATGGAACGTGGCTCTCATCCTCCCGCTTGCCGGTTATATTCCTTCGGGTTTACACTGGTTATGGGTGTGTAGCTGGAGTTTCAGTGGTGCAGTGCAAGCTACCCATAGTCGTTTTAGAGCCGCGGCCGTCCCGTGGCTGTCCTATGGAGGCCACAGTAGCATACAACTCCGAAATTGCATGCCGCCAACCATGTAAGTATTTTGGGTTATGTTGGGCCAAACTGACGCTTATATTAGATCCTTTTAATCTGGATAAAGTCGTTTCACTTTATTTGCTTTGTTCAATGTTATTTTGCTGCATATTCGACGTCAACTTTGCGCGTTTATTTTGCAATAGATGTTGTAGGTTGTTTGATTTTCCCGGTGTGGCTACGCTTGATGTGCATGTTGACAAGGTGTCTAACTGCCTAACACCGTCCACCTCGATTACTGGCTCCAGGAAACTGAATCTTTGCTCGGGGCGAGCTGCATGGTCCCCGTAGCCGTTTTTGTTTGAAAGAGTGGTCCCTTCCAGTATGGAACAGACTACGGCCCAGCTACAGCCCTGCGCACCCCTGGTACGCATGACTCCCTACATAGCCAAGGATGCTGCTGTACTTGTTGAAGCAGCTTGCGCCGGCTCGGTTGATGGGGTAGTGGCCTTTATTGTTGTGAGAGTGTTGGAGGGGGGGGTGGGGGGGGGGGGGGGGGGGGGGGGGGGGGGGGGGGGGGGGGGTGGGGGGGGGGGGGGGGGGGGGGGGGGGGGGTGGGGGGGGGGGGGGGGGGGGGGGGGTGGGGGGGGGGGGGGGGGGGGGGGGGGGGGGGGGGGGGGGGGGGGGGTGGGGGGGGGGGGGGGGGGGGGGGGGGGGGGGGGGGGGGGGGGGTGGGGGGGGGGGGGGGGGGGGGGGGGGGGGGGGGGGGGGGGGGGGGGGGGGGGGGGGGGGGGGGGGGGGGGGGGGGTGGGGGGGGGGGGGGGGGGGGGGGGGGGGGGGGGGGGGGGGGGGGGGGGGGGGGGGGGGGGGGGGGGGGGGGGGGGGGGGGGGGGGGGGGGGGGGGGGGGGGGGGGGGGGGGGGGGGGGGGGGGGGGGGGGGGGGGGGGGGGGGGGGGGTGGTTTTATTTTTTTTTTTTTTTTTTTTATTTTATTTTTGTTTATTTTATTTTTTTTATTTTATTATTTTTTTCTTTTTTTTATTTTTTTTTTTTTTTTTATATTTTATATATTTATTTTTTTTTTTTTTTTTTTTTTTTTTATTTAATTTTTTATTTAAGTTTTATTTTTTTATATATTTTTATTTTTTTTTTTTATGCCTCATGGCCTAATTTTACTTTCTGGTTTACTCTGGGTTACTAGGATGTGGACTATACTGCTCGTGGGTAGTGCTGTGCCATGCCATCCGGTAAAATTCTTACACTCATCTCATTTTATTCCCCCCCCCCCCACCA